ATAAAATGAAGCATGAACAAAGTCTTTCCTAATATACAGCAAAGCTGAAAATATGTATATATGAAAGAATTAAAAAAATACATTAAAAGTCTCATCCCGTTCAGGCTTAGTTTGAAGGCTTCCACAAATAGAAGAGATGAAGTAAAAACAAGCAAAAAAATTGACAGCATAGATTTTTCCTAAGACATTAATAATTTGGAACTTTGAAGAAGGGAATTGCTTTTCTGTCCCAAACTAGGATTTCTAACTGGAAATAACTAGGCAAGACTGGACCTCAAAAACACAGGGCTCTTGTGTAACAGGAGAGACTTATTGGGAAGGGCATAGAGAACCAAAAGGAAAATGAAAATCATGACCCTGTATGAATGCAGGGAGTTCCCCAGGCTGAGCCCTTCTGCTCTCTCACCAGCTCACCCAGAGTTAGACTAGATAGAAAATAAACATATGAGAGGCACAGAGCTGCACCTGCACAAGCTGACTACATACAACAGGATTTTCCATCTGGAAAAAAAGACAAATGAGGGAAATGCTGGATCCTCTACAGTTACAAACAGTGTGGGACAGAAAAAATATAAGTGTCCACTATGTCTTGTAACATAGGTTGTGTGGAGGACAAGGGGAGCTACCAAGGAGCAGGTTTAAAAAAAAACAATATTCTGTACTCCTCAAGTGCCTTACTTGTGGTCAGACACAGAGTGCACTGATGTAGGAAGTTCTGGAGACTAAACATGGAGATGGGGCAGAAGTGGCCCAGAGAGGTGACTGACGGTTCCCCGTGCTGAGCCCCGAGCCCTGGCCCCGCTGAGCAGCAAGTGCCCAGGGCCAGGAACCCTTCACACCACCAGTATAACAGTTACCATGCCAGACACTCACCACAAAATCAGGGTCTGTGTCCCAGTCGTCTCCCTGAGGCTCCACCTTCACTGACACGTCATGTCCCACAACGGCCTTCCACATCTGCACAGCGAGGACACGGTGTCACCAGCTGTCACCCAGGGCCCAGCACGTGGGCAGAGCTGGCTCACAGCCAACTACCGGATTCTGCTTTTCCAACACCATTAATTTTCTGTGCTGTGAGATGCTGTTCCCCACGTTACCCCCCCCCAGTAGCACGGTCACACCACTGCCACACGCTCCAATGTGCTGCTGACCTGAGGTGGACTCTTCAAGCCTCTTGTCTGTTTTCCAACCTTTTAACCCCTGCCCAGTAGCCTATAGAAGGGTCGGGGCAGGACTGGACACTGGAGTGACAGGGCTGGTGCCGTGTGGTGTTTGTCTGTCATATGGAGAAAACGGGAAGGGACTAAAAGCCCCGAGGCTGCAGGGCTGGATGGGCTGAGGCTGTGGTGGAACAGCTCCCACAGGCCTGGAGGAAGTGATGGGCCCAGGAAGAGGAAGTTAAAAGTAACGTGAAATCTAAAACTCCTATGTGTCATTTTCAAGGTGACTGTGAAAAAAGATGATGAAAAAGCCCCTCCCAAAAGTTTTCACAAAACGAGAGAGAGGGAAGATGACATGAGCTGCCTACACCCCAGAGCAATCATTCTCAGCAGAGCTCTCATATTCCAGCCCTTTACTGTCTGCAGTGTTGAGGAGCCCCGAATTGTTCTCAGTGTTGCCCAAAGCAGCTTTTCCCTGGGGCAGAGAGAAAGACAGAACAGAATGTGCAGGAAAGACTGAGCTGAGCCCTGTTCCCCATCACACCAGACTGTGACCAGAGCAATGGGAGGGAGGAGACCTCCTGTGTGCTGGACCCTCAGTTAACAGCAGCTTTTACCCTGTGCTGCTCAAGGGCACCAACCCCTCCCTCCAGGGCGTGTGGGAGCCTCAGGCAGCCCCGAGTGCTCGGGGACTTGCCCTCTGTGCAAGCGAAATGTTTATGCTGAGTAACTAAGTAATTCTCTATTTATGCTAAGTAATTAACTGTACCACATCAAAGCTGTTTAGGTGAATAACCTTCCAGTTTAGTGCAGCACACTGCTTGCTTTCAAGTTGTCCTTTCCAGTTGTCTAGAGAACCAGCACTGTAAAGCCAGGGAGCAAAGAGAACAGAAACTAAACCAGCAGGGATGAGGCTTTCTTTTGTTAAGCAAAAGCCAGGTGGTCAGCTAAGGGAGAGGATGTAGGGTCAAGGCAGATTCACAGTTTTAAGCCTTCTGCAGGTGCCTCGGGACCATAGAAGTTCTGTGCCATTCCCCACTCACAGCAATCCTGGGCCCAGCTGAATCCAGCCAATTGCACTTAGAAGCAGGGAAAGCAGGAAGGCTCACGTGGGCTACACAGCACAATCTAGCAACACCTTTCATCTCTCACACCAAAGATTTTTAAAGGTTCTTGCTCATTTTTGTAAAGGATAAACCAGCAGCAATAACCAGCTAGCACAGGGCTTTTCATCAGGGCAGCTGATCTGAGCTCAAATAAAGTGGTTCAGGGTTTTAAATGCTGCTGTAAGTGGTTCTTGAGCACTCATTCTCCAGTCACCTGCCCTGCATGGTGGGAACCATGACAAACCACAGACTGTAATTGCACTATGATGCTCCAGACACCCCCATAGTGAGAAATATCAGCCAGCATCTCAACCCCTTAGTTTGTCTTATTTTCCCCCGTGAAAACATCCACTACAGCACAAATATAGGGCTACCACACAGCACAGTCATGCTGGTAGATTTGGAAATGTGGTTCTTTAGAGGCTCAGACACAAGAGCAACAACAATGACAGGACAACAGCCTGAGAAGCAAATGCCGAGCATTATCCACTCAAACATGTTGGGTCAGGAAAGAGTTCTCTGCCCACCAAACCCCATTTTTTTGGTAGTCATTTCTCACTTTCCACTCCCAAAACACACTCAAGCTTTCTTACCTTTAAAGGCTCCTGCTGGCAAACTTGCTGCTCTTTGCTCAGAAACCTGCTGCCTGCAACAGCTCTGGGCCTGTCTGCTCCGAGTTCCTGTTTTAACTTCAGCTCTCTTCACTTCCTGCACCCCAGCCCCCAGCTCTGCTCAAGTCATGAGTCCCCAGACGTGCCCCAGTGCTGCAGTTCCCTCGCTGCCTGTGCTCCAAGATGCTGACACAGCACACAGCCAGCGCTTCCCCATCGGCACAGAGGATCCCATCAGGTCCCAGCACACCTTGTGTTCAAAAGAAGACTCTCCCATGGTTATAAAAAACAGTTCTGGTGGAGACAGCAGTCCTGGAGCCAGCATTCATGTCTTGGGCATGCCTGTTTCTTCTGGTATCTCTCCCCATTGCTGGGAGGATTGAGGAAAACACTAACTGTCCTCCTGAACCTTTTCCCGTTCTTCCCAGTGCCTTGAAAACCCCTTCTTGTTGCAACATCACCAGTACCCACATGAAAGAACCACAGTCTGAAGGCTGCACTGAGCTCAGTCAGTCGTCTGGTGACATCCCTGATTCAGGCCCCAGAGGCAGCAAACTGCCCTGAAATTAGGGTCTGGTCTGCACATGGGGGCCTCTGTTCTGCTCAGGAGTGACTGTGACCATCCCTCCCTGTTGTTTCTGCTAAGCACTGGCCTTAATGCAGCTCTTTTGAGAGGGGGTTATCTGACCTCGGTGAGGGCACCTGCAGAGGTTCCTCCTCTGCTACCTCATCATGTGCACTGTCTGCCATTCCCAGAGCCTCACGTCTGTCCTGGAACGGGAACAGAGGGTTGGGAGCTTCCCTTTACAGCTCTATGCAGTAACCTGCAGCCACTCCTCCCTATCCCGTGACACCACCTTTCTCCTGGCACAGGACCAGACCCTGGCCCAGCTCCAGCAGTGGTGCTGAACTGGCCTGTGTGTCTCAGGGATGGCAGAACACAGCTCTGTTGGTCAACCTCCTTCTCAGGCTCTCTTGCAGATCAAAACCAAGGCAGGACAGGTCTATCAGAGAAGAAACAAAATGTTGAAATGTTTGAGACAGGAAACATCAGCAAAAAGGCCCAGTCTTTCATCAGGTCAAACCACAAAGCTGTTCAGTCAGACTATGATTATCAGACCATGATTATCAGACCAGGAGTTTCTTCTGAGGTTTTGTTTTATTTCTGTATTTAATCTAAGCAGCAACTGTTCTATCTGCAGGAATAAAACATTTAAATGTTTCTAATCCTGCAGAATTGTGCCTTTCTTCAGTTCAGGAAAACCTGCATGGGCTTTAAGGAAACATTGCTTATAATCCTTACTCCCGTTAAACACAGTGGAAACATTACCTACAGCCCTATAACCCCCCAGTGCTGGCTTTTGTTCCAGCAGTGTGGGGGACTGTAGCAGTGACTGTGAACAAGGGTACCCACCTTTGGCTCCACAAAGTTGAAAGGGGACAGTTTAACAGTCCCATCTGAGTTAGGAGCACATTCCAGCTCCCTGGTGCCAACTCCTGTGTCTGGCCCGGGGTTGCACAACTCTGACTGGGTGCAGCGTTTAGGCAAATGTGGAAAAGTAAACCCAAGCAGATCTTGTTTTACTGGAATTGCTTTCACTGTTCATAAAATGGCTTGGGTTGGAAGGGACCTTAAAACCATTAGTTCCACCCCTCACCCTGCCACAGGACATTGCCTGTTCCTTCTTTTGTCATCTGAAAAAGGCTGAGCAAGAGGTGAGATGAGGAAAAAGGCATCCCATAGGTGTTCACACTGTATGAAAAAACAATGCTTTTACAACCATCACACAAGGCAGCACACACCGAGGGGACCTGAAGTCCCAGTGTCCCCTACAAGGTGTGATACAGCAGCACTACACCCTCAAGAAACCTTTGACAGTTACATGACATGACCCAAATTCCATCTGAAAAATAAACTTTATTATATATACAGGAGCTCATGCCCCAGGAAGCCACAGGCAAAATATTTGGTCACTGAATTTCATGTAGTTGGAGGAAGTCCACACTGATAACCATGGGCAGTGCACAAGTGGGTATGTAGTGCCAGTGCTCTGGACCTGCCAGAGATCCAGCTGCTTGAGCTACTGATGAAATCAATCCATCCTCAAAAAGGCTTTGTGCACTGGCTAGAGCAGCTTAGTTTACCAGCAATATCAAAAGAACTACCTCTTTCCCATGGGAAAAACATGATTGTTAATACTCTACTAAGAGGCAGATATGACCCTCCTGGCCAGAACTGGGAATGGAACAACCACTCGGTCTCCGACAGGGAATGTGACTGGAGCTTCCTTTGCATTTGGCATTCTGCTCTTGGAAGAGGGCAGTCTCAAATTCAGGAGGTCTTTAGAAAACACAGCTTTCCATACATCCTGAAAGATCCAGTCCATTTGCATCATTTGCTTTGGGTCCAAACATGCCCAGTGACCAGCACCAGCTATCTACACCAGAAGGTTTCAGAACTCTGGTTCCTTCCTCAGCACAGGGGAGACACTATTTTTGGAGCTTCTGCCTTTGATTTGGGCCCACACAGCACATCAGGGACCCCTTCAACACACCAGGGACCCCTTCAACACATCAGGGACCCCTTCAACACATCAGGGACCCCTTCAACACACCAGGGACCCCTTCAACACAGCCTGTGCGGGGTCAGTCTCCTGACAAGGGGCCAGTGGATGAGAATGCAGGAGCAGGGCTGCTCTTGTTTCTAGAGGTAACCCAGCAACTTCCATTGTGAGAGGTGCACAGATGCCACAAATAGCAAGGTTTTTAACTTAAGAGTTAAAAAGTTTCTTGCTTCCTATTCCTTTTAAATAACTAAACCCCTGGCATTATTTTACAGGCTTGCCAGGGCAGACATGACTTTTTAAATGGAATGCTCTGCAGGGCCAGATAGACTAATTTTGGCATTTCTTCAACAGGAGATGTAACTGAGCAGGAAACACAATTTTAAGATTCACTTTACTTAAAGTGCCCACAATTTCCTTAGGATATGCATTTCAGACAGCACTGAGCCATGGAGCAAATTTAAGGGATGGAACAAAGGGAAGACAATTCCTTGTCTTACATCCAGCTACAGGGTTTCCCCAACCCCACTCATGGATTCAGCCTAAGAGGGGGAAGATTCTGCAGTTCTAGGAAGTGCTGAAGTACTGCAGCAACTCAAGAATATTTTTCTTACTCCTACCACAGCACAATACTATCTAAAATGACTGGTTCTACTTCCAGGTACAGGAGCAGATGCTGTCCTTGAAAGTTTGCAGCATGACCCTGGCTCAGAAAACAAACCACTCCTGCAGAGACACCGAGGGAATGGCCAATGTCCCAGGAGCAGTTCCCAGCAGCAGCACTGCCTCTGACAGCAGCACCCAGTGCTCCAGGGCTGGCTTGGGAAAGCAGGCAGCTGGGAGAAGTGCTGCCCCTCGACAGGGAATGCAGGCCCCAGTGCACATGGGGCTGGGCTCTATGGAGCCTGTCACTCTGCTCACAGGTGGCCTGTAAAGCACAGGAGGAGCAGGACATGGAGAGCCAGCAGATACATGGCCACCAGCAGGGGCAAGCGGGTCCGGGAACGGAAGAGAGAGCGGAACAGGCGGCGCAGTCCAAGGGTATTCCGAGCCTGGGAGAGTCAAGAGAGACCAGTCAGTACAAGGAATGGTTGGGTCCCCAGCTGCCTTCACCCAGAGCTCTCTGACCATGAAGATAAATTTAAGCTAACAAGCATAAACCTTCCCAAAGTCATTTCACTGCCAGATCCCACCTCTAGGGCAATCCTCATGAAACACTCTCCTTCCCCTGCTCTCTGCAGGTTTTCCATGAACCACCTCTATCCAATTCTGTCTCCAGCATGGAAGACAGAGCAAGGCAAGAGCAGAAACCTACACAGCCCCTGACAGATCTGTGTGTGCCTACAGAGGGCTTTAGCTGCTGTAGGTTCACAGTTTCTTGGATTAGTCAGGGCTTACATAATTGACAGCTGTGAATGTTAAGTTCTTACTCTGCTGGAATTATTATCCATGGAGTCGATCAGCAAGGACTGTTCATGACCTGGAGCCATATCAATGCTGGCACTTAAGGAAGACGCCCACTCGCTTGGCTGCAACCTGCCACGACAAACAGGAAATTAAATTCAGTTTCTTACGATGCCACGAACCAAGACTGTAAGCAAGCTTAGGAAAGGAGGTGTTTCTCCAAAAAGGAGTCAACCCCCACAGGCAAGCCCTGGCCTCATTGGACAACAGCTGGTGCCATTTGTACAGTTGTGGTGCCTTGGTGCCTCCTGAGCTCACGTTGAGCAAAAGGACTGGACAACCCAACCAGCAGGAATCCTTCAAGTGACATTTCAGTGTGACTTGAAAGGAGCCAGGGCAGATGATACAACTGTGTGGTTCAAATTCTGTGAAATTCTTTTGGAAGCCAGCTCTGGTTGCAATAGTGCTGGTTCTTGATAAGTATTTTCTAGGGACAGAGGCAGCACAGGCACATCCTGGGGCTACCAGTTTTTAGTGAGATCAGTTACAGGAGGCTTTCAGAGACTTCAATGCCAGAAGGAGCTACACTTGTCCAAGTTGTGCAGCAATTACCAGGGAACTGCATCCAGAATTCCTCTGTACAGATCACTATTTTTTGGCCAAATCAGCAAGTGTGCCAGAAAGGAAGCCATTGTTTTCTTGTAAAAGACTCCACTAGTGAGGCTTATTTGGACTACAAGGAAATGCAGAGCTCAAGTGCCTACAATCAGGTCAGGTGAAAAACCCACCTCCATAGTCAATGAGGAGAAACAAGCATTTTGAACTTGCCCCTCAGGCAAGTTTATCAGGGCATCTGTCCAGTGCCCCAAGTGCCCTGTGCAGTGCAGACAACGGTGCTGGGTGCTGCAGAGGGGGAGGAGAGGGGTCTAGGCTGAAGTCGAGCCTGGTAGAGGTGGGGGAAAGTGTTTTTTCCTCATTGTGTAACTGTTTCTTAATAACCAAATTAATGAAAAGTTTATGTTAATTGGCAATACATTAAAATTGAGTGACAATTCTTCAAGTCAAGACTGTTTTCTGCATGACACACAGGTGCTTACTGAGGAGACAAATTCCCTGGAAGCATGAGAACTCTTCTGCTGGTGCCCAATTCCCAGTCTCCAAATTATATTTTCCAGTAGTTGATTTAACTAATTGAGATAGCTAGCATCTCATTTCCAGACAGAATTTATCTTAATGTCTAGTAAT